TAAGTGTTATTGTCTAATTGCTTATGCCTCAAAAGTACAGAAAATAGCTATTATTCCCCACAAGCTTTGCTTTTGTGACCAGGACAGTGATATTTTGAAATGTTCCTATTTTCAATGAGAAAACGTGTGCATTTGTGTCATTCCTTCACGTAAAGTCCTGGTTACAAAAGCAAAGTTTGTGGGTAATAATAGCCGTTTTATATACTTTTGAGGCATAAGCAATATAAAAATAACACTTACTAACCCAGGAACAACAATCGTGTTACATCGTGTTATCCTGCAAGAAATGAGTACAACCAGCAGATGGCAATCTCCTGCCACAAATAAGAAAATAAACAACGGCAATTTGTATCCATTTAACCCTAAACAAACGGCATCGCTTTACATGGCCGATTAACCGCACCAGCAGCACTGATGCAACACTAACATACACACCGCTTCATCAGCAGAGTCATACTTGGCAAATTAATGTAAGCCGCGCACGTAACTGGTCGCTCACAATTCCCAGCCTCGGCACACAGAAACCTGTGGTGCGCCATCAGTAGATGACAGCCGCGTGTAAAAGCAGCTTCAGATCTCCTCTGAAGCGAGAGACAAAGCGATGTAAGATCGCACAAGTACCCTGGACCCTGCCTCTATGAATGTCCTCGGGATGTACACTCGAAACTAACATATCACATCTTCTTGGTTCTTTCGGTAAAGTCACGTAGAAGAAAAATAATAAAATAATAAAAAATAAAATATAATTAAATCAAATTATATAATATAATAATATAATAAAATCATTTCTTTTTATTATTTTCCTATTTTCCTTCTACGTGACTTTACCGAAAGAACCAAGAAGATGAATCCCTGCAGGCACGAAAGCCATAAATCGAAATTTAACATTTCACACTTTAGAAATGAATGGTGCGTCTCATTAGCCACTCACGACCGACCTATTTCCTCCACCTTCCGAGCAGTGTTAATTTCTGTTCAGCCTTGCGCCTGATTCGAAACGAGAATCGCTCCGTTCATCACTGCAGTCTCTACACTTGCTGGCGTCTTGCCACGATATATAAAGGGACACTGGTCCACGTTTATCTCAATGATCTCAAAGTCTATCTGGTTGATTACATGCGAATGTAAATCCTCGTAACTTAATCATGTACAGCGACAATCTGATGTCCTGAGATCACGACATTAGACCAATGCACTTCCAGCTGCGATGCCCTTCCCACATTCAACAAACATTCCTTCCCAGTTTTTAAAGAACGGACTCTACTTATTGATTTATCAATTTGAATGTTAGGTGCTTATGATAACGACCATCCCATCTCATGGTATGTTATTCACGATTACTATATTTTCTGTATTTATACTTTATAACATTGAAGTTTATGCACAATATAGAATACTAGCTGTTTTTGCCCGTCCAAGGACAAGTGTATATTGCAGTAAATCTGAAATATTCAAGAGAAAAATTGTTCAGCTCATGATTATTAATGAGGTTGCCCCATGTCGAGTGACGTCATCCGCTAATGATTATTGGGGAGGGGTGCGACATGTGGAGTGACGTCACCCGCTCATGGTTATTGGGGAGGGGTGCGACATGTGGAGTGACGTCACCCCCTCATGGTTATTGGGGAGGGGTGCGGCATGTGGAGTGACGTCACCCCCTCGTGGTTATTGTGGAGGGGTGCGACATGTGGAGTGACGTCACCCCCTCATGGTTATTGTGGAGGGGTGCGGCATGTGGAGTGACGTCACCCCCTCATGGTTATTGTGGAGGGGTGCGGCATGTGGAGTGACGTCACCCCCTCATGGTTATTGTGGAGGGGTGCGACATGTGGAGTGACGTCACCCCCTCGTGGTTATTGTGGAGGGGTGCGGCATGTGGAGTGACGTCACCCCCTCATGATTATTGTGGAGGGGTGCGGCATGTGGAGTGACGTCACCCCCTCGTGGTTATTGTGGAGGGGTGCGGCATGTGGGGTGACGTCACCCGCTAATGATTATTGGAGAGGGGTGCGGCATGTGGAGTGACGTCACCCCCTCATGGTTATTGTGGAGGGGTGCGGCATGTGGAGTGACGTCACCCGCTCATGATTATTAATGAGGGGAGCGGCATGTGGCATGTGTATGTACATTGGTGTAAATTTCCACACGGACATGAATATTAATGAACGGGGGGGGGGGGGGGCTCTTTTGCAGTGACGTCACGCTCGTATTGTATTCCTGTCGTGGTAAATGTGTTATTTTTTATTTATTTAAATCTTTCGTGACTGCAGGGATTCATATTCTTGGTTCTTTCGGTAAAGTCACGCAGAAGGGAAATAATAAAATAATAATAAATATTTGTTTAAAAAGTTATTTTTTATATTTGTATTATTTTATCACTTCCCTTCTACGTGACTTTACCGAAAGAACCAAGCATATAAATGTGTTGTTGTTTAGCTCGTGCTTCTGTAGTTGGTTTACAATTCTATATCTATAAACGAAATTTGTTCCGTCTTGCACTATTGCTTCTGCATTTGTTTTGATAGCCCAATCCTTTTAAAAACACCCGTTCGTCTCGCAGAGGAAGAAAGAAGACAAGCTAAGCTCGTGGATTATACATTTTTAATTAGAAACAAGCGTTAAAATTAATCAAACAAAAAAAGCTTTTGAATAATAATCACACCCTCAATTGAAATTTGGGCGAAAATGTAATCGCATTATTTATCCTTAGAAAAATACGTTAAAAATGTATATGCCGCATAATTTATCCTAATAAAAAAACGTTTAAAATGGATATGCCCAATGTATACGAAGCCGTATCCACGGATCGAGAACTCGCCATTGTCCAGTGACACTAATTCAACAACTAAATGGATCAGTGATGAGAACAAGACATAATTAAATGGCAATTGTGCATTGCTTACTGGGCCTTTGCGCTGCGGTGGCGGCGTGGTGAGATAAGTGCCAATGGTGAAGGGTGCAGGCAATGGTGACGATTCTTTGTTTTGCTGCCTACTCTTACCTCAACGTTGTCAGCAATAGATCCTGTGAATCGCCTCTGCAATCACATCTTCCGGCGAGTGGCCACCCCACCCATGCCGATATTTTCCACATCACAATTTAAAAATTTAAAAATTGTGATGTGGAAAAAAATCTCACCCCGGCCAGGTCAAAGCCGTGAGAGGCGTCTTGTTGCCACGGCTGACTTCACCAGAGCTCGTGATGTCTCCTCTGAGCCAGAGCTGCTTACGTGAAACGCACTGTGTGCAGCACGCAAGGAACGTGACAGGGTTTGGCGTACATAGTTCAAGGAGCATTCACGCAAGGGAAATTAGTTCCAGGAGCAATTCTATGTTAGCATAAATTAAAATGTAACTGCGTGTCGTCTTTTTCTATTCCTTAATTCTTGAACACGTTTTTGACGGGAAATCTGAGAGAGTCCAAGATTTGTGGTTAGGGGCCGTCCATAAATGACGTCACGCACCTGGGGGGGGGGTCAGACATTTGTGACGATGTGTGACGAGGGGGGGGGGGGTGAGAAATGTGACGTCACATCAAAATGCGCAACTGTAAATAAATATAGAATTGTTATAACAACACTCCTATAACATCAGAGAACAGCGCCACATTAAATACGCACTACAATGACAATAGTTTAAAGCGATTTGAAGCATGTTTTATGGTTTGGGGGGGGGGGGCAGAGCTTTGTGACGTCATATTTGAGGGGGGTCTGACTTTTTGTGACGTCGTGTGACGAGGGGGGGGTAAAACATTGTACAAAATCGTGTGACGTCATTCATGGACGGCCCCTTATACCATTGGTCGGAACCTCTGACCCCACGGTGAAGAGGTCACGTCCACTCGGACCAAAGACACGTAACCCATTGGGTTTCCCAGATTCCTCATGACAAGCATCCTCACCAGGTAGGCGATAAATCTCGCCGATTCTAAACGCGCCCAGCACCACCACACCACAGCGCCCCACCCCCCACCCACTCAGCTGCACCTGCAATTCGGGAAAAGAAATATAAATCATCGTGGGTGACAGAAGTAGCCCAGCACAAGGCCTCCTTTTACGAGAATAAAAATCTCCCTCAATCTTCACAAAAGTGCCAATGCAAGAGAGTTGACATCAATTAAATTTGAGTAGGCAAAGGAATTACTTTTAATTAGATTATCTTTTATCTTTTTCATTTTGCACGTATCGTGTATGAATAGGGGGGCATTGAGGTCATTCGAACACATTCACAACACTGGCAATTACCTAAAAAGTTTGAGTATTTAAATGTGTAAGTGTGAATGTGCTGCACCGTTTCAACCTGCTATTATCCAAAGCTCCTTTATTTAGATCAGATGGGAGCCCATGAAAACAGCAGCTTGTGTTCTTGGCCAGGCTGGTCTGTCTGCCAAAGCCTAACAACCCTTGGCACACTCCGTAATTAAACCAAACAAAACAGGGATGAGTATCATACACAAACTGGTTAAGCTGGATAATTGCTGCAGTGATAATGACTGTTCCCACGTGGGTCTCGGGTCTGGTCCACATTCACATCCCACACCTCACTTCCACACATTACACGCACATCCAACGCCTCACACCAACACACCCTCCATCCACAACTTACACCCACACCCTCCACTCACATCCCACTTGCACACCTCACAACCATACCTCACACCCACACCCAACCCCCACACCCAACCCCCACGCCTTACGCTCCCACCATTGCTCACGCTGCTGCTGAATCAGAATGCTGTCGCTGTGGGGATTTTTGGCTCTTAATGGCGTGGCAGTCATTGAATAAGAATTGCTTTTATTGTTCACGATGCGACCCTCACTCAGCGCCACCTGTGGTGTGTGCAGCTGCCCGCGTCTTTGGGCAATAACGTAGAGCATTTGCTGGCTTGACTGACATTACAGAGCGATGATGGCATTATGCATCTGACAGCTACGACATCTCTTGGCGAGTTCACAGAATAATGGCAAGGGAGATAAGCAAGGATAAATATTGAACTTTGTTTTATTAAACCTATTATATATATAATACTTTTGTGATTATAAACATAATATATGATACATTCTTGTTGCAATCATACATGAAAGCAATTCTCATTTTTGACCAGAGATTGTGGCCACTGCTCACACAATAGACCGGACCTCTAACCCGGCCACGCAGGGCCCACGATGCAGTCCCACTGCACCACCTTGCAACATGCAGCATCACCTCTCCCCAAAAAGAAAGAAAAACGCATGCATGGGCATAATGACACGAAGCACATTAACGCGGTACCGCACACCACACATGCGCACGTGCACACACACACGCCACACATTGTGATGACACCACATCCACGCAGCACCCACACCATACACACCACACGCAGGGCATGAAGTCAAATATCCCCCGTATAGCCTTAACAGAGTGTTGGGGCAAGTGCTGTTGGTGAGCACCTCACACCCAGACAGCACACACAAAGGCATGTTACTCCATAAACACAGCCAAAATGACACACAACACACACACATGCATACACACGTGATATAATACACCATACACATATGGCATGACACACCACACACAAATCAGAGATGTCCTGTATATCCTGTAACAGACGAAAGTTAGGAAGCAGCTGTAAGCCTGGCGCAGCACTGAGGAGCATTGTGGCCAATACCACGCTTGGCTTCCATTGTCTCCGCAGTGCTGATGTTGCACGCCTAACCATGTACTCATTTAGGGCTGAGTCAAACTAGGGGAGGCCCAGACTGGTTCATGTATCACTTCCTACTGATGTTAGCCATAGCCGGGAATTTTTGTTCAGGTCACTGGATTTACAACCACTGCGCTACCATGATAGGATGAGCTACGAACACACACACACGGCATGATGCAACACAAAGACCCAACTCTGCAGACCAGCTGTATCATCAAGTGTTGCTAGCCAGCACCTACTAAAGCCGACACGGCACGCGGGCGGCTGGTGTGGACAGCACCATTCCTGGTCACCTTTGTCTCCCCATTACTGATGTTTTACACATTGCACAAGATACTCCTTTAAAGGTTGCATCGATCGAGTTGAGGGCTGATTCAACTCATCGCCAGTGATGTTAGCCATGGTCGAGAATCGAAGTGTTGCTTGCCACATATCACACAAATCATGATGTACCGTACACTCACACTTGATGATGAATAACACACTCACACACACCCCATGAAGAACGCCATAAACACACGCACGCGCATACCATGATGGAACACACATGCGCGCATAGCATGATGCGCCACAAACGAACAGGCACAGCATGATACAATACACACAACGATAACAACAACAACCCCCCATTTGACGGTGATGTCATCGTGGCGCTTGTGCCAGCCTACGTGCACACACGCACGCGCACCGAATGACGGACAACACACGCACACACGCGCACGCATGATGCGACACAGACGAACACGCAACGCATCCTGTTACCGCCTCACACGTGTGTACAATCCCCATGCACTGACGCCGGGTACACCCTAACGACCGTCACCACGACTCGTGCGTGAAGCCAGTTGCATCGGCACTGGCGCTCGCCCCCTGCAAATGGAAAGCATCTCGGCGCCCACACGGCTGGGTTCCAGCACATTCTCTCACTGCGCCACCGAATCAATGTCGGGGTCCTCTCGCCATGCCACCAACATCGATGAGAACGCAGCGGGATGGTTGCCGCTCACCAGGGCGTTACCTCCGCTGGCAAGCTCAGCACTGGCCGAGCCGGTGGGGGGAGGGTGGCATGTGCCCCCCCAATGATCCGATCGAAATCCCTAATTTCGATCGGATCAGTGGGGTTTATGAGTGATAAATAGGCATTTTGTGACACCCCACTGCCACTGTGTAGCATATTATTACGTGCCAGGGACTCTATGAGATGATAGGACAATAGTCTGAGTACATAATTGGCAATAAGTAACGGCAAAGCGGTTATAAGTGACTCACATAATTGTGTGCAGTTGCGTATCCAGTACACGACTTCCCTGAAGGCATCAACACCTTCAGCGAGCGCGATGCCGATCACACGACGCGGTTCGAATTCGACCCTCGATCGATGGCTGCGTCATCGCCGCACACGCGTCGAATAAAAAGCAAAGGGACAAGTCCTTACTTATTTATAACTCCTCTATCATTTTTCATTGCTGGAGGGGTTGCCCCCCCCCCCCCCCCTTACCTGAAAATCCTGGCTCCGCGATTGAAGCTCAGGATGTATATCCTCTTTTTGTCTATCTCGGGATGCTACCATCCATCGCAGCACACAGTGCTGAAGAAGCGTTTTTTTTGCTTTAAAATAACTTGACCCTGGAGGAAAAACAAGCTATTTCGGTTACGCGTGTATAATATATGACCTGTTAACATATTTATCTGGCATACAGTATCATATAAAAGAGCACAATGTGCTTCCATCTCTATCGGGGCTTTAAAGCACCGCTCTCACCATGTTACCTGTCGTCTCGGCAGGCATTGGAGGGGGGAGGGGGTGTCACTGAGGGGCGGTTAGAAGCAGGACCCAGGGAGATTTACCGTCAGGATAGGAAGGAGATACAAGGCAGGATATCTAATAAACAAGTTCCGAAAGTCGCAACCTGAACGACTCCCGACACAGCTTACCCGGTGACGCCGTTCAGCTTAACGGCACAAACGAGGGCTTTTTGACCATTGAGTGCCGCTCGGTGGCCAATGAGGCCAATATGTGATTAAGATTACATTCTATATTTAATTTTTTAAATCGGGATGATTTTATACGGTTTGTTGGAAAAGCTGAAGAACTTCGCATAAAATTACAGCATGGAAAATCCCGGCAGTTCTTTTGTTTGATACAATGTTTTGCAATCAATGTTAATTAGTAATATACAGTGTTTCAACTAAGAGCCCCTTGGTGTGCAGTACTACTAATATTCTGTTTAATCTCAAAGATGGCGGCATTGGCATGTCCAAGATCATGGCTCGCATCAACCACATTGAGGAATTCAGGATTTTTTTCCATCTCACACTCTATCTGCTTTTCCTGACAATACGCTCATGTTTTAAGCATGGCTATTCACAGCATTGCAAACCATGGCACGTGCAGACACAAGCCCTATGGGACGGCGGGGTTAGATCTGCTGGCCAGGAGGAAGGAACACCCCCCCCCCCCACCTCCTTTGAGGAAAGAGCCAGAGGTCAGTTCTGCCAAAAGCAAAGTGTGCGTCTGCCTGAACCTCCACCGAGTTCACATTTTATTGTTCCTGTAAAATTTTACGCCCGAGCACTTTTGAGCCTAATTGCATTTGGGCATCGTGTGACTCGTAATAAGGGTGCGGGCATTGATCTCTGCCCTCCGCCCCAGGTGTGCCAGGTTATCCTGGGTGCTAACGTCCCTCTATTGATCCCTTAGCCTTTGTACCACAACTTAGCTGGCCAGCGATCATTTACAGAATACCCGAGGCGTATTGTTCTGCCTGTGACAGAATTGAATTCTGTGACGCAACTCACTTCTTGGCCAAGAACATACACCGCAGCTCTAATGTACAATCCGATGATGTGCACACAGCAACTGGTTGTGTACACCATAACCGGCGTGGCCTCTTGTGCACACCATGGCCTGTGTGCTAACCACCGCTCTTGTGTTCACTGTGGTCCCTGTGTAAACTACCATGACTCTGGCCCATGCCCTACACCACGTGTTGCTGCTCATAGCAGACATGGGGCAGAACGCAATACGTTTTTGCATGCAAACAATTCTCGTGTTTTGCCTCCCAACATTGCGCATGGGGCAGCCATTGATGTTTTATGCATTACGTAACGTGCACCAACTGCAGATGGCAGGAACAACAACAAATTTAGCACCTTGTTTCAACAAAATTATCTCCGACATCCAGGTCCATTCGATGCACTCTGAAGTACTGTGGCCTGAAAGCCAGTCCACCAGCAGAGCGTCAAGCTCTTTCAATTAAATCCCGAGCCGACCAAGGAATCGCATCACAGACAGCCCGGTACGCTGGAAGCCTCGCAATGGGCATCGCGAGTGCAAATCAGCCATCTCGGCTGCATTCTTCACTTGCGACGCGAGCAGGGAGCCCTGATTTCCATACAAATAACTTCCCTCCTCGCACGTGAACATCCACCAGGTGACAGCGATGCACGCGACTCATGCACACGATAACAGCGTACATTGCATACATGGCTATGAACAGAAAGTGTAATCGTGTCTTTTTTTTCACCGACACGGCGAGGCTTCCTCCCAGGCCTTCGCGTTGTGCACCCCTCTCTTCCTTTTTCTCCAGAACGGTTCAGTGATATCACAGCTGCCCTCTGGCACTGGGAACCCGCGTCCATTCGTGAGCAGCAGCAGCAGCAGGGGTGGAAGACCCTTCAAGTTGGCGCTTCGCAAGAGCTGTCGTCCTTTCCTTAGGTAGTTGCAGTGATTATTGGCAACAAAGTGCATGCACAGTTGCTTGACCCGATGTGGCACGAGAGCGGCCCGACTCCGTACACTTCTCTTTGCGAGTCAGGATCTTTTTTTATTTGTACCCTTAGACACTGGGTTCCAAAAGCCCCGAGTCAGCCTTTGCTTCAGAGTAATACATTGATTTGTCAATTCCTCAACTGGAGGTTGGAGGTCATGTGAATGGGCTGCAGGCAAAAAGGACAAACAGTTACATTGAAACACCCATTCACTTAAACACAGCCCTTCCTATTCACACAGTATGCTATGATAAGCACAATTTGATATCCAAAGTCATCTTGCATTTGAACAGGATGCCTTATAGGTGTGGTAGTGTGTGATTAGCTCATATGTGTGGTGCCTGTGGTATGTGGTGTATATTTGGAGTGTATGGTATACATGTGCAAATGTACATATTTGGTGTCGTGGTGTCCTTGGAGTGTCATAGTGGATATGCTGGTGTGTAGTGAACGTGTTGTGTGTGTACATGTGTTGTACAACAATATGGGGAGCGGTAGCTTAGCGGTTAGCTCGCTGTGCTACGAACCCGGTGACCTGAGTTCGATTCCCACTCACGGCCAACATCAGTGGCGAGTATCTGAATCGTGCCCTCACCTCGGTCGACTCAGTACCTGGTGCGGTGTGTAAAAACATCGCCACTGGGGAGACAAAGGCGGCTGGGCGTGGTGCTGGCCACCCCCTTCATAGGTGCTCGCTAACAGCACTTGCCCCAACAGTCTGCTAAGGCTTCACGGGGGATCTCTATCTTTGTTTTGTACATGTATGGGTGTGTGTGATTATGTGTAACGGTGTACACGTTCTGAATGTAGCGCCTGTCTGTGTGGGTGTGTGCATGCGTGCATGCTTAATTCCCGTCCATGTGTGCGGGCGTTTGTGCATCTGCGGGCATGTGCCCTCCCACCTGGAGTAGCGCTTCTCCAGACGAGCCCCGGGCAGGCAGTGCCCGTTTGGCAGCAGAAGCTTGTTGCCGTGGGTGATGCCAATCGCCTGCCCGTTGGCGAGCGACGTGGCCGACGAAATTCCGTCGGCCGAGCCGGCCTTGGGGGCGAGCGAGAAGGAGCCGCGCTTCTGCGCCGTGAGCACGTCCATGGAGTGGCGGCGCAGCACATCGTTGGCTCGCCGCCGTGAGCTGCTGCTGCTGCTGCCCACTCGCTGCAGCCGCTCGTGAATCTCCACGCTCAGCCGACGGCGCGTCTGCTTCAGCTCGGCTGCCACGCTGGCTTTCCACTCGGCAGCCTGCGCCGTGAACTCTCCCACCTGGCGGGCATGCACACACAAAGACACGGATCCCAACCACCCACCACCACAACCGCACAAACACAGGCCCCAACACACACACACATACTGACGTAGACGCACGTCAAAATACCGACGCAAGCACAGACGCACACACACACACGTGCACATAGACAGGCACACACTGCAGTGAGACGGCGTCTGGCTCTGAATGAGCTCGGTCGCATCTGGTGGCAAGTGGAATTTCTGTCTCATCCAGCAGCCCCGCCACGCACACAGCGCGACCGTCACCGACATTCTCCCGCAGCTCGTGCCAGCTGCTCCAGAGCAGCTTGTAATTGGCTGAAAGTGGCTCTCGTCAACCCCAGGGCCGAGGAGTGAACCCAGGCGAGATTATAATCTACGAAGGCTACGAGGGGTCTCATTTGCCGTCCGAACAAGCGGCAGCAGGAGGTGTCCGTGCTCATTTGGCCTGATCCACGCACACTTTGCAGAAAGCCATCGGAGCCTCTCCCGGCATCCAGCGACGCTGCGATCACAACGACGCCGCCGCGGCGCTTGTCCGACAGCGCCGAGATTAAGCGCCTGTCACTGGTTGTTCTCCTCGTGATCCGTTTGCACTGTTTTAGGATCACGTCCGGTAAACGTTATTGTCATTTCCAACAGGCAAGGACATGAAGATGGTGCCTCTGTTAGCACGTGACAATTATCCATAAATCAGGCCAACAGGACAAGCCTGGATCGAGCATCAAGGCACGGTCTTGCTGTGGCAGGAGGAATATTCCCGGATTAAAGGAAAGATTCCCCCAAGGCCCCATTCTGACTTCACCTCCCACCTCACCACTCCCTCATCGACCTCCCCCCCCCCCCCGGCTCCACGTTCCACCCTCACCTCCTTCTTGGTGCGCCGCGAGAGCGCGTGCAGCCAGTATCCGATCATGCTGAGCACCGCAGCGAAGTATGCCAGCCCCACCAGGATCCAGAACCAGACGAGAGGCTTGTACCACTCGCTGTATTCAATGTCCGCATCTCCACCTACAGCAGACAACATCCAGAGCTCTCACCGCAACAGCCAGGGTCTCACCACAACATCCAGAGCGCTCACCACAACACTCAGGGCTCTCACCACAACAGCCAGGGGTCTCACCACAACACTCAGGGCTCACCACAACACTCAGGGCTCACCACAACAGCCAGGAGTCTCACCACAACAGCCAGGAGTCTCACCACAACAGCCAGGGGTTCTCACCACAACAGCCAGGGTCTCACCACAACACTCAAGGCTCACCACAACAGCCAGGAGTCTCACCACAACAGCCAGGGTCTCACCACAACAGCCAGGGGCTCACCACAACAGCCAGGGTCTCACCACAACACTCAGGGTTCACCACAACAGCCAGGGGTCTCACCACAACACTCAGGGCTCACCACAACACTCAGGGCTCTCACCACAACAGTCAGGGGTCTCACCACAACACTCAGGGCTCTCACCACAACAGCCAGGGTCTCACCACAACACTCAAGGCTCACCACAACACTCAGGGCTCTCACCACAACAGCCAGGGGTCTCACCACAACACTCAGGGCTCACCACAACACTCAGGGCTCTCACCACAACAGCCAGGGGTCTCACCACAACACTCAGGGCTCACCACAACAGCCAGGAGTCTCACCACAACAGTCAGGGGTCTCACCACAACAGCCAGGGTCTCACCACAACAGCCAGGGTCTCACCACAACACTCAGGGGTCTCACCACAACAGCCAGGGGTCTCACCACAACACTCAAGGCTCACCACAACAGCCAGGGTTCACCATACTCTTACTCTTAGGGTGTTTTCGGTAAAGTCACGTAGGTAAAAAAATGCTATGAAAATTTATAAAAGTAAAATAAAAATCACGACGTTTCGGAGACAACACAAGCTTCCGTCTTCAGGTGGAACCGTCACAGCACGATTGCTGTATCAAGTAAGAGAAATTCTAAGAGACCCGTCCTTGTATATATACTGGTTGAGGGGGGGAGGAGCCAAGGCAGGCACCTGGATCGGAGTTTTGTATTGTTATTATTGTGAGGTTGGTGCGGCTGAGGCTGCTGCTAGGAATGAGCCTTTGTTGTGTAGACTGGTTGAACTGGGAGGTGCCAGGGTTGTTAAGGTGCGGCTGCTGTAAATGGGACTGAGCCTTCGTTATGTAGATGAAACAGCCCTTTGCTATATTGCTGGGTGGGTAAAACTTAAAGCAGGAAACCAGTGTGTGAAAAAAGAAGCAAAATATGATAAAACAAAACAAAACTGGCTGTCTATCAGTAAACTGTACGGTAACTAAAGAATAGTGCCTGTCAAATAAGATGGTCCAAATATGTGTAGTGAAATCTTTTTTTGCATGGTTAATAACATATTTCCAATGATTACTCAGTTTGTACCCATCATCACGGTTGAAATTATGTCTGTGTTTGTATATCTGGATGGCTTCGTGTACAAACCTTTGATGGTAGCCAGGAGGTTTGCAGAGTACCTTGGTCTCGGAAAAGACTTTCTCATGAGAGCCCACAGAGTTGTAGCAATGATCGGCAACGGCGGAAGAATCAGTTTTGCCGTGTTTCAGATCTGACTTGTGCTCGCGGGCACGATCAGAGATATGACGTTTCGTTTCTCGAATGTAACAATCACCACAGCTGCAACTCAGTTTGTAGACTCCAGGGAATTGTAAGTCAGGAATGACATCTTTCACAGATGAAATTAGATCACGGATTTTATGTACTGTACTGAATCGGACTTGGATCTTATGTTTGTTTAGAATTTTGGAGATCTTTTTGGTCACGCCTGCTATGTATGGCAACGTGATAGTTTTGATCGGAGTTTCATGTGGCTGTTTCTGTATGGTGGGAGAAACAGCTTGGCGGATGGTGCGGTCAGAGTATCCGTTCATCCTGAGGGTACGATGTACATGTCTTAATTCACCGGCCAGGTGGTGTTGGTCTGAAATGCGATGAGCTCTGTGTTATAGCGTTTTGATGAGATAATTATTTTGAGATGGGTGGTGGTGGGAATCCGGTTTCAAGTAGGAATCTGTGTGGGTGGCTTTCCTGTAGGCAGAATGTCCCAATGATCCCTCGGGTCTCCTCTCAAACTGAATATCCAAGAATGGTAGTTTGCCATCTTTCTCCACTTCCATGGTGAATTTCACCATAAAGGGTTCACCATAACACTCAGGGCTCACCACAACACTCAGGGCTCACCACAACACTCAGGGCTCACCACAAAACTCAGGTCTCACCACAACAATCAGGCCTCACCACAACACTCAGGGCTCACCACAACACTCAGGGCTCACCACAACACTCAGGGCTCACCACAACACTCAGGGCTCACCACAACACTCAGGGCTCACCACAACACTCAAGGCTCACCACAACACTCAAGGCTCACCACAACACTCAGGGCTCACCAAAACAGCCAGGGCTCACCACAACACTCAGGGCTCACCACAACACTCAGGACCGTTACCACAACACTCAGGGCTCACCACAACACTCAGGGTTCTCACCACAACACTCAGGGTTCTCACCACAACACTCAGGGCTCACCACAACACTCAAGGCTCACCACAACACTCAGGGCTCACCACAACACTCAGGGCTCACCACAACACTTAGGGCCCTCACCACAACACTCAGGGCTCACCACAACACTCAGGGCTCACCACAACACTCAGGGCTCACCACAACACTCAGGGCTCACCACAACACTCAGGGCTCGCCACAACACTCAGTGCTCTCACCACAACACTCAGTGCTCACCACAACACTCAGGGCTCCCCACAACACTCAGGGCTCACCACAACAGCAAGGGCTCACCACAACAGCAAGGGCTCACCACAACAGCAAGGGCTCACCACAACACTCCGGGTTCACCACAACACTCAGGGCTCACCACAACACTCAGGGCTCACCAAAACAGCTCAGGGCTCACCACAACACTCAGGGCTCACCACAACACTCAGGGCTCACCACAACACTCAGGGCTCACCACAACACTCAAGGCTCACCACAACACTCAAGGCTCACCACAACACTCAGGCTCACCACAACACTCAAGGCTCACCACAGCACTCAAGGCTCACCACAAGACTCAGGGCTCACCACAACACTCAAGGCTCACCACAACACTCAGGGCTCACCACAACACTCAAGGCTCACCACAACACTCAAGGCTCACCACAACACTCAGGGCTCACCACAACACTCAAGGCTCACCACAACACTCAGGGCTCACCACAACACTCAGTGCTCTCACCACAACACTCAGGGCTCACCACAACACTCCGGGCTCACCACAACACTCAGTGCTCGCCACAACCCTCAAGACTCACCACAACACTCAGTGCTCTCACCACAACACTCAGGGTTCACCACAACACTCAGGGCTCACCACAACACTCAGGGCTCACCACAACACTCAGGGCTCACCACAACACTCAGGGCTCACCACAACACTCAGGGCTCACCACAACACTCAGGGCTCACCACAACAGCCAGGGCTCACCACAACACTCAGTGCTCTCACCACAACACTCAGGGCTCACCACAACACTCAGGGCTCACCACAACACTCAGGGCTAACCACAACACTCAGGGCTAACCACAACACTCAGGGCTCTCACCACAACACTCAGGGCTCTCACCACAACACTCAGGGCTCTCACCACAACACTCAGGGCTCACCACAACACCCAGGGCTCACCACAACACTCAGGGCTCACCACAACACTCAGGGCTCACCACAACACTCAAGGCTCTAACCACAACACTCAAGGCTCACCACAACACTCAAGGCTCACCACAACACTCAGGGCTCACCACAACACTCAGGGCTCTCCACAACACTCAGGGCTCACCACAACACTCAGGGCTCACCACAACAGCAAGGGCTCACCACTACAGCAAGGGCTCACCACAACAGCAAGGGCTCACCACAACACTCCGGGTTCACCACAACACTCAGGGCTCACCACAACACTCAGGGCTCACCACAACACTCAGGGCTCACCAAAACAGCCAGGGCTCACCACAACACTCAAGGCTCACCACAACACTCAGGGCTCACCACAACACTCAAGGCTCACCACAACACTCAAGGCTCACCACAACACTCAGGGCTCACCACAACACTCAAGGCTCACCACAGCACTCAGGGCTCACCACAACACTCCGGGCTCACCACAACACTCAGTGCTCGCCACAACCCTCAAGACTCACCCCAACACTCAGTGCTCTCTCCACAACACTCAGGGCTCACCACAACACTCAGGGCTAACCACAACAGCCAGGGCTCTCACCACAACACTCAGGGCTCTCACCACAACAGCCAGGGCTCACCACAACACTCAGTGCTCTCACCACAACACTCAGGGCTCACCACAACACTCAGGGCTAACCACAACACTCAGGGCTCTCACCACAACACTCAGGGCTCTCACGACAACACTCAGGGCTCACCACAACACCCAGGGCTCACCACAACACTCAAGGCTCACCACAAGACTCAGGGCTCACCACAACACTCAAGGCTCTAACCACAACACTCAAGGCTCACCACAACACTCAAGGCTCACCACAACACTCAGGGCTCACCACAACACTCAGGGGTCACCACAACATTCAGGGCTCACCACAACACTCAGGGCTCTCACCACAACACTCGGGGCTCACCACAACACCCAGGTCTCACCACAACAGCCAGGGTTTCACCACAACACTCAGGGCTCACCACAACACGCAGGGCTCACCACAACAATCAGGGCTCACCACAACACTCAAGGCTCTAACCACAACACTCAGGGCTCACCACAACATTCAGGGCTCACCACAACACTCAAGGCTCACCACAACACTCAGGGCTCTCACCACAACACTCAGGGCTCACCACAACACCCAGGGCTCACCACAACACTCAGGCCTCACCACAACACTCAGGGCTCACCACAACACTCAGGGCTCTCAGCACAACACTCAGGGCTCTCACCACAACAATCAGGGCTCACCACAACAATCAGGGCTCACCACAACACTCAGGGCTCACCACAACACTCAGTGCTCTCACCACAACACTCAGGGCTCACCACAACACTCAGTGCTCACCACAACACTCAGTGCTCTCACCACAACACTCAGGGCTCACCACAACACTCAAGGCTCTAACCACAACACTCAGGGCTCACCACAACACTCAAGGCTCCCCACAACACTCAGGGATCACCACAACACTCAGGCCTCACCACAACACTCAGGGCTCACCACAACACTCAGGGCTCACCACAACACTCAGGGCTAACCACAACACTCAGGGCTCTCACCACAACACTCAGGGCTAACCACAACACTCAGGGCTCTCACCACAACACTCAGGGCTCACCACAACACCCAGGGCTCACCACAACACTCAAGGCTCACCACAACACTCAGGGCTCACCACAACACTCAAGGCTCTAACCACAACACTCAAGGCTCACCACAACACTCAGGGCTCACCACAACACCCAGGGGTCTCACCACAACACTCAGGGCTCACCACAACACTCAGGGCTCACCACAACACTCAGACCTCACCACAACACTCAGGGGTCACCACAACACTCAGGGCTCACCACAACACCCAGGGGTCTCACCACAACAGCCAGGGCCCTCACCACAGCCCGTTCCCACCACCCTGCTCGCGAGGCCGCCATGGCTGAACACACTGTGCTTTTATGGCTGATAATAGATGTCTCTTAATTATGTGCTGAGACAGAATGGCTCATGATTACTGAACCAGCAACTCTCCCCCACTACACACCACACCTAGCCATTCCGCTACATCAAATTAGAATTCATCAATTACTAAGCGCGCACGTGAAGTAATGCATCAAAATGCGACACATTTCAAGATATTACGTGCGATTCCAATGTGAGAGTGTTTAATTATTGATGGGGAGGCCCGACCATGCCTGCGTTTGACACCGGTGCTCCGCTCTGCACAGCCAAAGGGATAAATCAGCAGCGTGTGGAAAGAACGCGTCACTATCCTCATACCGTGTACTGAGTAAAGTATGGTGGAATTCTAAATCCATAACATCACACCGAATGTTGGAATAAATGCACTCAGCATATTAACATTTGAGGCAACTTTTCTCCGTGCAATTGAATAAACGCATTGGGAATGATCGATGACTTTTGGAGGCTAAGGTGGCCGGTAATATACGTTTATGGCACAAAAAATTGACAGCTTCAGATGTTACAGGAAGCATGGATGTGTTGCGAACAATACACTTGCGTTTTTCCGGTAAATGTAATCACCTTAAGTGATTTTTTTTTCATTCTAAGCATTGTCCTGTCCCCAGTGAGGACCGCTGGTGGAACATTTACACGCAAGGTCATCACAATCTGTTCCCACAGGTGCCATGAAACACGTCGCATCTTTCACGGCTGCCACACAGCCCCCAACGGCACCTTTGTCATGTTTCCATGCCCTGGTAGTGAATGACCTTTGGTGCCTTAAAAACAAAAAGGCTAGGTCGCTCCCTTGTCAGTATCCACATGATGTCGCCCTTTTGAATGCTTCACGGGCCGATCCGTGACTCCTTGTGCCGATGCTGGGGAGAAGGGCTCTCACCCTCGCACCACCCTGGACCCACCAACGTCCTCCGGGCAAACATTTGTCGGGAAACAGGTGGACTTCTCCACAAATCTGGCTGTGTCGCCTGATGAAGCTGGTTGTAATTACTGGATTGTAAATGTTGTGGCTTGGCTCTCCAACACACCGGCGTGCTGTACTAGTGACGAATTGGCACGTTCTGTTTACGTGACAACCCTTACTAGTTGGCTGTGTCGAGTGGTGGCGAGTTTTAACGACACATTTATATATTTACGCGATCTAACCCAACAAAAAAAACCTCTATGATGGATGATCTCTGGAGATCGGAGGCTCGGGGCTTGAGCGAGGCGGCCGACACTGGGCCCCGTAGACCAATGTCACATCCCCACACTCGGATGGGCACCGTGGAATGGCGAGGGAGCCCTTCGTTGCCACTGCCGTTCCAGCGCAGACGGCCCCCGCGGCACGGGCAGAGGCAGGCCAGCAAAGAAGGCCGCGTGACAACTTCCATCTCTCTCCCCTGGGCATCTCGAGCAGGGAGCCATCGCTACGTCGACGCCTGTGCCAACGTTTGAAACGTTCATCGGCAGTATGACAGCGGATTACGCGACGCTTTTCGAAACGGAGTTGTCCTCGTAAGTATTTTAGATCAGCGTCAATAATGGTGCCAGACTGCCGGGGAAAGAAGCGGCGCATCCATAGGCCGCGATGAGGCCGCTGGCTTCGGATCGTGGCTCTGCCCGGGAAGGTGCGCCTCAACCGGGATGCCGAGGCGGGCCCCCTCAATGCGGCATTGTATTTCTTAGGTTGTCGGCAACCGTCTGATCGATGTAGCTATTTTTCCAAAAGGGTTAAGTCCCTAAGAGCGACACAGCTTTATACCGTTTATCTTCACATTGAATACTCCCCCCACCGTATATGGATGGACAGTCCGACGAACGGACCGAGTCGACGCATCGTAAACACTTCCACCCTTGGTTGGAAAGGGTTGAGCAGATCATTGGTGGAACCCCTGACTCAAAATGTTATCATCTTTTGCAAAGCTTTCAAAGGCTGGTCATCGAACAAAGACGGTCCCCACTGCATCGCGCGCTTTCAGATGCGCGTCTGCGGCCGTCTGGAACGTTCTTCCTTCCGTCACGAGGAAGCCACTGGAGCTGTGCACTTTCAAATCGTCATCTCGATTAAAAACGATATTTCTTTAAAACTGACTGTTGTGCTTAGTCTGTCGTTCTTCCCCCGCAGATCCGATGAATACAGTTGGCGACGTACGGTGCGAAAGAAGTTCAACGGACATATGCACAAAACGGGACATCGACGATATTTACTAAAGCAACTGCGTAGTATAAAGCAACATGATGATGGCTTTTGCTTGAAGTCAGTGCCCATCAATAAAACACAAACCAGCTGCACTCGGGGTGGGGGCAGGGGGGGGGGAGTCGCATCAGTGGGATTGGGGTCAAATGCGTCCGGGCCTCTTTGAGGACAGCAGGACACGTCAACTCGTTTGTCTTTCTATCGGGTGACGCTGCCGTTTCAAACACGAGCGAGGACGTTATTGTTATTGAGTGGGGGGGGCGACAAATAAGCACGACATTAAGCACCTCTTGCCGGCCAAGGCTATTGTTACATAACCGTCATCAGGTGCAGAGCGCCTCCTTTGGCCACTGGAGCAGAGTTAAAAGCGTAAAGTAACCGTCAGAGCGCACGGGGGGGGGGGGGGGGGGGGCTATCAGAGATCCACTTCTACGCGTTGAGCGTTTTGTGTGTGCGGCTCCGAGGGGGGGGACTGTGAAGGGGGTGCCCATCCCGCCCTGGCAGTCGAATGGCAGCCGCTCTCCCGAGGCACGGGGTGTCTCAACGAGACAAATTCTGTCCCCAATGCGGTGTGCGCGCAGACAAAACCAGTGCTCCAGCCCAGCTCACTTTAACAATGCAACGCCACCGCACCAGGCTTGCGGCATGGCAACGTGCTGACTTTCGAGTTAGATCAGGAATTATTAAATATTTAAGAATAAGAAGAAAAAAACTGTCGCCATAATTGGTGCCATTGTGTAGGATACAGCCATTTCGAGTTTAAGAACGGTCCTCGGATTTTGTGCACAGCTTGACAATGGCTTGCATGTACGGAGAGGCATCTCGGCACATATCCACACAATGTGCACCTCAGCGCATCATCCATGGCCCAGCACCATGGGCGGCTTAAGCAGGAGGAGCTTGGATCCTCAGAAGTGGCTTCCTGCTGCCAAGGCGCCGCGGTATCGCGCAAGCCGACCCAACACACACGCGGGGGTCAACCGAGTTCATGATCAGGGAGGGACACCCGGACCCACCCAGCGAGCAGACCAGCCGACACCAACTCACCTGCCACGAAGTCTCCGAACCCAATGGTGGTGAGGGTGGTGACCACAAAGTAAATGGCCTCCAGGGAGCTCCAACCCTCGGTGCGCATGAAAATGGCCGCTGGCACGGCCACAAACAGCACGCAGCCGGCCAAGACAAAGACGACGGTGGACATGACTCGAACTCGCGTCTGGCTGATCTTCCGCTTCTGGCGCAAAACAGAAGAGCGAAACAAGATGGCAACAACAGAGCACCGTTATGGACGTCGCAAGTCGGCGATATGCCCTCCAGCAGCGAGCAGTGACAGTACCTCCAGATGTCCCAGCGGATGGCCAGGTGCTGCCTGCTCTCAGGCCCACGGAGTCTACTCTTCGTCTCACTTCAGAGAGGAGCGCTGATTAAGCACAAGCACGCGCTATGCAGCTAATGGGGCTGTGACGATGTCAGCCAGATAGGAGACCGTGGGAGCGGATTCACATCCTTCATTTATTCCCCGCACGTTCATTATTTAACTGTTCGGCTACATCATCAGTTTGCCGAGCAGAGCTCACACTGGAAACAAGGGGAGGGATGTTGAGCTCACGCTGCTTGTCGTTCTGTGTTGACTCGCCAGCGGCGAGCTCAATTCTTCATTAAAAAAACATTTCTTAATTTTTAAAATAATCTTTGATTTTTTTTTCTCAAATGTTGTACACCGTGTTAATGTCCCTGAACATGGTTGGTTGAGGTAGGCGGCGGTGGAGGAAGGAATGAGATGTTCCTTTCTCGTGGGTCAACACCTTCCTCCCCGTCTGCCGGGGGGGGGGGGGGGTCGCGGGCTGCGAGGAGCCTCGTGGAGGGGGCCCTTGCCCTGGTGCCGGGGTCTGCCACTCAACCTGGAATCTCATTACAAGATAGAGTCTGCAACCTGGCTGCTTCGAGCCCCTCCTCGGCAGCATCCACGCATCTCTCGCCAGTGCCACAAATATATGCGTCTTACGCTCATCCATAATGAAATGTCGGGGTTTTTTTTTATTTCACTGCAATGTATATTTAATTTTGTATGTGCTGTTTTCGATTCTGCTTTCCCCCCTAAAGGCAATGCATGTCTCATTAAGGTAAATGTGAATAATCAATGCCTCCAGTTCCCCCACTGTGTTTCTCTTTAAGCTCTTGCGGACAGCAGCACACGCCACGCTCGTGTGATTTACTCACCCAGGGCAGCCCCTTCCTCCTCCTTCCTCCTCCTCCTACCCCCCTCCCAATGGAGCTGCTGATAAATCACAACTCCACAAATTACAGCAGCATCCAACTCTGGTCATCTGCCGTGTTCAAATAAGGCATCCACGTGGCTAGAGGTGACACATCCAAAGGCGTGCACAGTTATGCATTCGCCATCGAACAAAGAGAATGTTAATGGGTACAAAATGTGTCGCCAGTATTAAACTATTGTGTGTGCCGAATGTGCATTCGCACACCTTGTGTCGACCTTGTTAATGTGTTGTGACAAAATAGTATTAGTTTAAATTAAATTACATCACCTCCACCACTATAACAAAGACACCGCGTGTAGCCTTAACAGTCTGTTGACGAGCACCTATGAAGGCCGGCACGGCACACGAGGGGGTGGGTGGCCAGCACCACGTTCGGCCGCATTTCTCTCCCGATTGACGATGTTTACACACCGCACCAGGTACTCATTTGAGACTGAGTCGACCTAGGGGAGGCCCAGGACCGATTCAGATAATCGTCACTGGGGAGAATTGAACTCGAGTCGCCGGGTTCATAGCGCAACACACTGACCGCTACACGACTGCCACCATGCCACCACCTAAAGCCACAGTGCTGCCCTTGCGTACCACAAATATCTTCTCAATGTTGGCGATGCCTTTGCCGAAGATGGTGCCCAGCTGGTCCCCCACCCCAGCGAGAAGAATGCCGAAGAGAGGGATGCCGATGAGCGCATAGGCCATGCACAGGATGCGGCCTCCCTGTGTGCTTGGAGCGATGTTCCCGAAGCCTGCACAGGCCAGGGTGACAGGACCACCGCTATTATGGGCCAGTCACGGTGATGGGGCACGTGTGTCTGTGAGAAAGTCTGCATAACAGCAATGTAAGGATAGGCCCTGCGTTTGGGATGTTTGACCAATTTCTTTTTGAGCAGTGTTAGCACACGGAAGGTAGCCTCAGCACTGGGGGAAAACTCACACATATACGTCGAGGGAGATGTCACTTCTCAAAAATCCTCACAGACGGATTCACGAACGGATTTGCTGTACTGCATTAGCCTGGCCACCTTGCAAGCCAGTGGATTTGTTAAATAGTATAACAAACCTACGTACTCCATTGACGCCTATCTCCAAAACGCTTGCAGGGCATGTGCCGTCATGCCCGTATGCAGGGCTGTTCTGTGGGTCCCAGCGGCAAAACTCAGGGATTTGTCTCGGAAAATGAAAAGCTTTTTGTGTCGAACCGATGGAGCAAACATTATCCGACCAGAGTGTATTTGTGAAGCCGTGCTGTGATGAGTGTGCAGAGAAGTGTGTCATCTCTCCGCAGTGATCCACTTAAACGAACACAAAAACGGTTCCCGGGTCTCATTAGCACGACATGCATATGTATCTCGAAGGATAAATTATTAAGGTGATAGACAAAACTCTATCGTGGCCGCTGGTATAGTGGCATTAAACCGCATAATTACTTATCTGGGAGCATTCATGTCAATAGAAATATGAGATCAAGCAGTAAGGAAGATACGCGCCGTTCGATTGAGGACTTCCGTATAGACATTTCGTACTAAAGCGTCATCCAACTGTGGTGGAATTGCTCCGTTTGGGGACAGCGAATGCGAAGCTCCCCAACCCCAAACGGAATCTCGACCCCCCCCCCCCCACCACTGAACCCACGCCGCTGTCCCCCCCCCCCCACCCCCACACCTCCTCACCTGCACCGGTTCCTCAATCACGCTCCCGGTGAGCCCCCTGACCCGGCTGCCGCCCCAGCCATGCACCCTACACGTCTGGACCCGAGAATCCCATCTCGTCGCCTCTACTCCCCACTTAGCCCCCAGCATCGCCCCCCCCCCCCCCCCCCCACCGTCTCAGATCGAGCGAAGGCCACAGACAATCTGCTCTCCGGCATTCAGCACGGGGTCACGAGAAACACGTGCAGGCACAACGCACGCCACTGAGTGCCCATGCACAGACAGCACCACTGTGTGGTGTCGATGCACGTGTACGCACGTCTGCACTGAAGCAGGAGGATTTCATCCACAACTCTGGCCGTCCGCCTAATGATGCTGGTTGTAATGGCTGGCGAAACGTCGGACTCGAATTGTAAATGTTGTAGTGGGTTTACTCTCCAACACACCGGTGTGCTGAACTAGTAAGGCACTGGCATGTTCTGTTTACGAGACAAACCTTGCTAGTTGGCTGTGTCGGGTGGTGGCGGTTTTAACGGCACATTTATATATTTACGCGATCTAACGCAAACACCTCTATTATGGCCTGCACTGTGTTTCTATACACACATACACCGTCTCCACTTGTATACACATGTACAATGTCTATACACATATTACACACCTCTCCCGAGTAACAATGTTTATACACTGCATCAAGTACTTATTTGAGGCTGAGTGGACATAGGAGAGGCCCAGGACCGGTTGAGATGATTGTCACTGGTGTTCGCAGTGGAGGGACGGGAATCAATCTCGGGTCGCCGGGTTCATCGTGCAAGGTGCTAACCGTGCCACTACTGCTCCCTACCGCTCCCCACACACACACACTGTGTGTGTGTGTCTATAAACATAAACCCAGCTCCATTGTCTTTATCTTGGGTATCACAATCTCGGACAGGGCGGTTCTCCCTGCTGCGACCTAAGACAGCACCACATGTCAGTGACGCGCAGATAACAGTGACATAAAGTCGGTGGTGACACGCCGATTGTGACACACACACACACAATGTCAGTCGTGAAACGTGGACGGGATTCATTCCGGGTATGTAGTGACGCACTGACGGTGGTGGCACAAGGAAGGATGGCGATGACCGTCGGTGCTGACGCAACGATGGAGCTGACGAAACGGAGAGGTACCGATGGTCGTGATGACGGTTCCCGAAAAGAAGAAGGCTCCTCCCAGGTCCCAGTGGCTCGATTTCTTGGAAGCATTGCCAATGGGGTTGACCCCAACCTTGATGGCGTCTGAGATTTGCTGTTGGGGATAAGGGAAAGGGGCCTGGGTAAATGTCACGCGCTTCACTCCTAAGTCTCGGCTCCTTCACAATCGCACAATACATCGGCTTGTGACGCACGTGCCACTGCACAGAATGACAATACGGATGACACAAAGATCGGCCGTGTGTCTTGCGCGATGCTGTGAACGTGGGTATATGTAGGTGGCGACAGAGGAGATGAAGGTCGTGGTGGTGGAGGCGACAGTGGTGGAGGCAGTAGTCGAGATGCACATGGCGGTGGTGGTAGCGGTGGTGTAGGAAGTGGTAGGGGCGAAGATGCCGGTTGTGCCGATGGTGGAGCTGTTGCTGGTGGTGGCACTCCTGGTGACAGAGCTATTGATGGCGGTGAAGCTGTTGGGCGGTGGCGGTGGTGGTGGAGGCGGTGTTGGCGGTGGTGGTGCCACCGCTGGTGGTGGTGAACGTGCAGCAGCTCGCTCGCTCGCTCGCGCCACCTGTATGAGCACCTCCAGCTCGTGGGACGGCACGCAGCCGTGGCGGCTCAGGAAGATCGCCTTGGCGGCCGCCACGGTCGACTGCTGGCTGCTCTCGAACGGCTGCTCCAGAGCGCGGAACAAGACCCCGCCGAGCACCAGGTAGGCGAGCACCACCAAGAAGACGGCCAGCACCGTCTTGCGCTTCATCACCGAGCCGCCCGATCTGCCGCCGTCGGCCGCATCCTCGCCGGCGGTCAGCACCGTCACGCGCGAGTCGATGGAGAGGCGAGGAGGGGCCGCCCTGCTGCATGACGGGACCTCCACTGGCACGGGGGTCAGTGGCAGAGAGCGGCGAGGTGACAGGAGGGCTCGGTGCTGCCTGCTGGGTGCGTCCGCCGTGGCCTCCCGTAGGTCACTAAAGCCCCTTGCGTTGTTTGTGTTCTCAGTGTCGACGGCGCTTTGGGTGGCTGGTATTTGCCAGAGAGGCACCACGTGCTTAATTTTTAAAAAAATTACTAGACTTGACAACATTTCCGGTGTGTTAATAATATACTGGGGAGTTTTCTTACACGCTTGTTTTAAAATCGTGACATTAATGCATAATGTATCGTCAGAAGCATCATTGATGCGATCCGTCTTTTTGACGGCTCAGACCACACCAATACACAATGCACTTGCGCTGATTAGAATATCTCAATCTATATTTAGACCTTATGAGTTACAGCAACATCATTGCAATCGAACTCTGCCCAATCGGATGTTATGGATCGCGTTCACAAATGCATCGGGCAAAGCGAAGTCTAAACTGGGTTTTTCTCTCGCGATGAGGAGCGGAAGCTGCGGTTGTGGGCGGCTTAAATGGCAAAGCAGGGATCTGAGCAATCTGAGCAATATGTCCATTGCTCTCAGCAGTGTCATCCACCAGCCCCCATTACATGACACAGTGTGCTGATTAGCACTGGCACACGTGTCCCCGAAAGGCAGGTACGATGGAGCTACATTTCTGCCTCTAATTGCCACGGCTCAGCTGCAGTCTGGGTGTTTCGAGGCGGCGTGACCGGGTCACCGCTAACCACAGCCACGAGACCCATTCCGTCACCACGAGACCCATTCCGTCGCGCCCTCTCCTCCTCCACACACCACGCGGGGCTCTGAGCTCAGTGAACGCGAGTCTCTCATCTCCCTTCTCGTGCGCCTTGCTGCGTTAAGTGACCAATACCTCCGGCATGCTCGGAACAAGAGTGCAGCCATGCAACCACGTACACACAATTCATCGTCCATCAGCATACGGCTTTATGCAATGACACAGTGCAGATCTGCCACCCGATATGCATGCAATGAACACACGCCAATTACATCGTGCTCAACGGACACAACAAAACACACCTCCCGTAATTACACGACGATGCATCAGTGTCACTGCCGCTTCGTTGGCAACAAACCCCCAAAAATGTGCGCAGCTGCCCGCGACATTCAGAAACACACCCGGCAGCGTCCTGTCGCCGGCAGCTCGCAGCCACGCGGTGGCCGCTGACGCCAACCCCCTCGCGGTGGCACGGGGAGCCCCACGCGAGCACCGCAGTGACACCGGGGGGGGGGGAGGGGAGGGGGCTGCACTTACTCCAGTAGGCGGAATCGCTGGCTCAGGGTCGGTGTCTCCGGGCCGGCAGATGGGTGACGAGTGGCCGAGGAGGAGAGTGGCATCCGGCGAGGCGAACACTGAGTCGCTCACAGCGGTGTCACCGGGAGGCTCGCCGCAGCTCGCGGCTCCGCGGAGCCGCGTGCAGCGACAGCGCCGTGGCCGCAGCGAACGGCATCGTGAAGGATCCGACCGCGGGGTTTGTGAGCGTCTCTTCTCCGCGACCCCCTTGGGATGCAGCGGCAGGAGCGAGTCGGAGCGCACGATTGTGGTTCTGCGAAGCACGCGTTACTCCGTTGCTATGGAGGAGGAGATGGAGAGCAGAGGGGGAGGATGTGGGAGTGGAGGGGGGGCATGGAGGGAGGGAGAGAAGGGGGGAGGGGACTTGGGGAGGATGGAGGGGATGGTGGGAGATGGGGAGAGCTAGAGGTTGGGGTGCAGGAGGGAGGGGTGACGCAAGGCACTGTGGTGCACAAATAACTGCAATTCTGTCAGAGATGTCGTGCGAATGTTATCACTGTTCAAACGAAGCAGAGTCCTTCTGATGATGTGTCACTTAGGGCCACGGCGTGCCAAGTGAGGCCGCTGTCACCGCTGCCTCTGGCGTCATTGGTGCGGCCACTAGCCAGCTCAGCCCAAGTCCACCAGCTGCGATTTCACGGCACTCCACCCGGTGCGGGCGGGCCGATCACATGCCGCGTGTGGTCGATGCTCAGCGAGTCTGGTGAACCGCCACCTGGCGTGGCAGCCAATGTTCCGGGTGTGATGGGGTTCTCTCACCCGCTGTCATTGGGCAGGAATCAGCACGAAGCGCTGCTGCCCGGATACTGGCACCTGCATGCCCCGCCGCCAGGAATGGCAAGAGCTGTTGAAGAAAGCTGAGATTACAGCCGGCAGTCGAGCGGCTGTGATGCCACGAGAGGCAGAAAGCACCCTCGATGCATCCCCTTCGAGGCTCTGCCAATAAAGCAGTGTCTGCGTGACTATGGCCTCTGAAGAGAATTAATTATCTCAGCAAAGCAGCAATTTGGGGTGCGGCTTAAAACAGGATAGCAGCACATACTTACAACTCTTACACCATTGGAACCTCATTTGCCAGTAAACAATATGATAATTGGTTTTTACCCTTTTATCTAGCAACAAAACTGGTGTCAGTTTTGTTGCCAGATAAAAGGGTAAAAAACCAATTTATCTGGCAACAAAACTGGTGTCGGTTTTGTTTCCAGATAAAAGGGTAAAAAACCAATTATCTTACAAATCTTCTGCGCATGACTCACAGAGGGCATACCTTTGATTGTCCAGATGCGTTAAACCGCCGCTGCCTCTGACTCAGAAGCCACGTGGACAAGGCAGACGCTCGATCCCAGGAAGACCTCAAACGCTGGGGTGAGCACCTCCTGTCTCGTGTGAAGCCACCTTCTGACTGTGATGTCCAGCTGTTGGCACCACGGACCGCACAGTCCACGAGCTGGGAGCCACGAGTCTGTGGCTAACGTGCACTGCTGATTCCTGATCATCAGGCCGGGAAATCATTAAGTAACTCCCAGCGAGCCAGATGTCTGCTGAGCGCTGCGTTGGAGGGAACAACCCCAGTGCGGAAATTGCACACCACAAGAAAACCGGATTAAAAACCCACGAGGATGTTTAACGAGGCTGACACTACCACAAAGCTAATTATTGACATTACTATAAAAGCAATCCTCGATTACGGATAATTCATAAAGGTACCGACTCGACAGCGGGGCGGGCTCTGCGCGTCACGCCCAGCGCGTGATAGTGACACGAAAGCCTGAATGAGCGTGGATGTTCGTGGCCGTGAATTAAGAGTAATTAGCGGCAGGAGAGGGAATGCGTGCTGCTGTACTCAGGCAGCGAAAGAAATGATGGGCGGCTCTGAAGTGGACGACCTTGATGGCCGACGAAGGCAAGCGTGCCGATCGCGATCATCTGCCTAAACACACATTCGCGTTTTCCAATTTAAACGAAGATAAAGGTCCCGAGACCCGTTAAGGGCACTCCACGCTTAATTTACGGACAAATCGGTTTAGCCATATTAACAGCGCTTGCGTAGATACATGGGGCCTTCGTTGAAAGGGAATTTTCACGGCTGAAATGATTCAAATTTGTTGAGTTCACTAATATCAAAGCTCATTGAAAGAATCGCTCGACGATCACAGTTATTTCCCTGCATGTAGTGGGGCTTTGTGGTGCAGATCCGTTCTGAAACCCACTCGACCATGGCCACCACGGTTAAACAATGCACATGGCATGGAGATGCCTTCGTCAAATCCAAAAAAATATATAGCTATATATTTATTCACCTGATGACGATGGCTTGTGTTGCGATTGAAACGTCGTGATATGTTTTATTATTTTTCTATCTACGTGGCTTTACCGAAAGACCCAAAGAATACAACAAAATGATGTAAATTCAAACTCACATCACAGGCAGCCTATGTTACAAGTGACAGTCAAGACTTACAAGAAGCTAGACAAACATCATACCCTGGAGGGGTGAACACGTCCCACTGAGATCTGCCCGGACCATGAGTAACTTGGGGTGAATGAAGGCCAAGGCGCCCGTGTAAATTGATGCCCACGGTTGGAATTGACTGTGGAACCAATGATTACAGATGGAGGCGACACACTTTTCCAGCTCCAAGGGACACCATTGAATGATAAAAGAAACAGGTGCGGTTATAGATCAGTTTGTCTTGCGGGGCAGCCAGCCTGCTCCAGCCTGCTCCACCCTGCTCCCAGCCTGCTCCCAGCCTGCTCCACCCTACTCCCAGCTTGCTCTAACCTGCTCTAACCTGCTCTAACCTGCTCCCAGCCTGCTCCAGCCTGCTCCACCCTGCTCCCAGCCTGCTCCAGCCTGCTCCAGCCTGCTCCACCCTGCTCCCAGCCTGCTCCACCCTGCTCCCAGCCTGCTCCACCCTGCTCCCAGCCTGCTCCAGCCTGCTCCAGCCTGTTCCACCCTGCTCCCAGCCTGCTACACCCTGCTCCCAGCCTGCTCCACCCTGCTCCAGCTTGTTCCACCCTGCTCCCAGCCAGCTCCCAGCCTGTTCCACCCTGCTCCATCCTTCTCCCACCCTGCTCTACCCTGCTCCAGCCTGCTCCACCCTGCTCCCAGCCTGCTCCAGCCTGCTCCAGCCTGCTCCACCCTGCTCCCAGCCTGCTCCACCCTGCTCCCAGCCTGCTCCACCCTGCTCCCAGCCTGCTCCAGCCTGCTCCAGCCTGCTCCACCCTGCTCCCAGCCTGCTCCCACCCTGCTCTAACCTGTTCCCACCCTGCTCCCAGCCTGCTCCAGCCTGCTCCAGCCTGCTCCACCCTGCTCCCAGCCTGCTCCCACCCTGCTCTAACCTGCTCCCACCCTGCTCCCAGCCTGCTCCACCCTGCTCCCAGCCTGCTCCCACCCTCCTCTAACCTGCTCCCAGCCTGCTCCCACCCTGCTCTAACCTGCTCCCACCCTGCTCCCAGCCTGCTCCACCCTGCTCCCAGCCTGCTCCCACCCTGCTCTAACCTGTTCCCACCCTGCTCCCAGCCTGCTCCACCCTGCTCCCAGCCTGCTCCCACCCTCCTCTAACCTGCTCCCAGCCTGCTCCCACCCTGCTCTAACCTGCTCCCACCCTGCTCCCAGCCTGCTCCACCCTGCTCCCAGCCTGCTCCCACCCTCCTCTAACCTGCTCCCAGCCTGCTCCACCCTGCTCTAACCTGCTCATAGCCTGAACTCTGGACTCTGGACCCCTTTGATCCTCCCTAACCATCGAACAAAGACGATCGCTGCATTGTGCACTTCAAGATGCGCTTCTGCGGCCGTCTGGAATGCTCTTCCTTCCGATATTAGGAAGCCACTGGAGCTATGCACTTTTAAATGTGGATTGAAAACTAATTTCTTTAGAACTGCATTTTGTGTCTGGTTTGTTGTCCTCCCCCGCACCTCCGTTTAGCACGGTTGGCTACGTACAGTGAGAAAGACGTTCAACATACACAACCAACCCTGCAGACCCCAAACGCGCCCTCAAAACCATACCCTCATAGCCCCCTTAAGTGTGTATGACACATATCAGCGTCAGCCAACGAATCTTAATTACAGCTCTTCCTTCTGTTCACCCATCGATGCAGAGTCTGGCGTCAACACGTCGGATGAATGCGCCGAGCAGTTAACGAGAGCGTCTCAATGCCCCCAATGTGTGCCATGAAGGACCCGTCAAGAACAAGCGAAGAGCAACACAACCCCCGGGGGGCCTTGCGAGGAGCACTCCGCCAGATTTCTCGTGTCCCAGCAGCAGCACTCGGCCGGGTTCACGACCCGCGGGCCTCAAGCTCCCGAGGCGACGAGCAGCGAGCGAGGTTTTCACACAGTTCATAACCAAACCCCTAAAGCAAACTTTGTATCCTGATGGCCATAAAAATGCTTTCCTCGCCATAAACGTCGGGTCGTCAAATGATAACGACACATCTACGGTTCGTCTTACCGCGATGATTAGGAAGATCCAAAGGTGGATTAGGAAATCGCCTGCTCATGACAAAATGGGCTGTCCGAGGTCAAACGTGAAACAGAGCCGCTAAAAAGGAGCGAGCGAGCGAGCGGCCGCAGTCAGAGCTCGGCAGGACAATGGCCAAGAGCTGGACCGTGGCGTTGGTGGGGGTGGCCGCAGGGGCGCTGTGTCTCACGGCCGGCGTGCTGCTGGGACACTTTGCCATCCCCAAGGCGGCGGAGACGAGCGCGGCGCCCGCATGGCTGGCCGAGTACAGCCGCGACTTCGACAGCGACGTCGTGGGGCGCCTCCTGTCCGACATCGACACCGAGCGCCTGGAGCAGAACCTCCGGTAGGAGGGCGGCTCCGTGCTCGGTGGCCCGCCGGGATTTGCGGCATCACGAGCGCACACGGACACACAAACACACACAGAGAGAGGCAAAGACAAAGATATCCCCGTATTGTAGGGCTCAGCGATTTGGGGGAAATATCTCATTGAGATTTGTGATTACATTTTTTAAGTCAAGCTTCAGTTCAATATTCACTGTGTAATAGATGTAAAACATGTGATGGAGCATTACCCCATGATACCGTCAAAATATGAACTGCTCTATATATTCTAATGCAAGGATGAGAACTTAAAATATATGAATTGCTTCCAACATGTATTTATTAGAATGTTTTAATTGAAATAGAACAATCAAACATTGAACAATTGTTAAGTTAAATAAATAAAGTTATATTAATAACAAAAATTAAACAATTCCAATAAGAAAGTAATAGTAGGACTTTTCAAATCGCAAAAAATCGCAGCCTTTGCGATTTGCTAATCGCATTGTTTCACATTTCCACTTCGATTTGAAATCGATTAATCGTTCAGCCCTACCCTATCGCCTTAACAGACTGAGTGGGGAAAGCGCTGTTAGCGAATAGCACCCATAAAGACCAGAACGGCACACGGGGGGTGGGTGGCCAGCACCACGCCCGACCGTCTTTGTCTCCCTAGTGGCGATGTTTATTACGCACGGCACCAGGTACTCATTTGAGCCTGAGTCGCCCTAGGGGAGGCCCAGGACCGGTTCAGATAATCATCACCGATGTTGGTCGTGAGCGGGAATCGAACTCAGGTCACCGGGTTTGTAGCGCAGCACGCTAACTGCTACAAACACACGCACACACACGCATACACACACAAACACGCAGACACATGCACACACTCAGGCACACACATACAGACACATGCACACACATGCAAACACGCAGATATACACAAACACGCAGACATACACAAACACGCACACACAAACACGCAGGCATACACATACAGACACACGCACACACAAACACACACAAACACGCACACACAAACACACAGGCACATACAGACATGCAGACATACACAACAACAACAACCGTCATTCGCCACTAAGTGGCGGTGACGTCACCACGACGCTTGTGCCAGGCCATGTGCACCTTGAGGCCACGTGAAGTGTCGAACGCCCGCTGGCAGGAGGTCACGGGGCAGACCCAGCAGGTGCCACGGGTCGACTGACCGAGATGACCGAGATGACTGGCTAATGCGCCACCTGTGCCCCCTACTGTACCAACTTGCTGTGCTTTAGCCACCCGGCGCTCCGCTCGTTGTTGTGAGCGTCGCTCCTCCGCCCTCCGTTGTTGTTGGAGGGCGACTGCCTCCAACTGCCCAGTAGCGTCCTTCACGAGCCTCCTCCACTGAGGCCGATCTTGACACCGCTGGTACCAGTCATCGGCAAGTCCACTCAGCTCCACGTCCTCCTGTACCACATCACTCCATCTCTTCTCTAGCCCGTGCCGCGCCCGTCTAGCCCCCTCGATCCGGCCGAACAAAAGCTGTTTAGGCATGCGGTGGCTGGGCATGCGGGCTACATGACCCAGCCAACGCAGCCTTGCCTGCCGGAGGAGCTCACTGATGGGACTTTGCCCAGATCTTTCAAGGACTTGTGAGCTCCTCACACAATCCAGCCTGGTTAAACCCAGGATGGATCGTAGGCAGGCCAGCCTAAATGTTTCCAACCGGCGAAGATGCTCCACTAGGGGGGTCCACGTTCCGCAAGCGTAGAGAAGGGAGGGAATGACCGTGGCCGAGAAGACCTGAAGCTTCGTGCGGAGCGACAGACCAGGTAGCTTCCACACAGCGTTACGCAACCGATGAAAAGATATTGCCGCTCGACTGATTCGGAGTGAGACCTCTGCTGATAAACTGGAGCCGGTCATAAGCACACTACATACAGACATACACAAGCACGCAGACACATACACATACAAACACGCACACACACACACGCAGACACACACAAACACGCAGACACACACAAACACACGCACACACAAACACGCAGACACACACATACAGACACACGCACACACAAACACGCAGACACATACAGACGCACAGACAAGCCTCAACCTTTCCCCTAGCCGTCACGCATCACAAGTACACAGACACACAGACACACTCCATCCTTTCCCCTATTCCGAACACATCACGAGCACCAGAAGACACACACTCGCACCCTGAACTAATGCATCGGCTCTACAGCCGTGAGACGCATTCGCTGAGGAAGGCAGAGCAGACTAGGCAGATGCTTGCGACTGCATTAAAGTTTCATAACGAGGTGGCCGGGAGGACCCAAATGTCAGAACGCTGAGTTGGCAGTGCTATTAAGATCCTAGGTTAGAACTCAAGGTTCAGACTCTTGTGATTAAACGGGGTTACAAATGAGCTGAGTTGATGGTGTCAATCCAGCCACCAATGATTGCACGCAAAAAAAAAACCCGCACGATATGAAATTTGGTTTTCCAATTAATTTGGCCGAATTCCAGCTTTGGAAATGATAAATATTAGTCGTCACGCCATGAGCATTACTCTGAAGCAAGGTGGTTGGGAAAGTTCTGCCCCCTCGTGGAGATAAGAGATCACTTGCAGCGAGTTAACAAGTAGTGCTGTGATACCCGCTTCTGCGAGCCATTTTCCAACACGGATGGGGGGGGGGGATTCGGGAGTGAATTCCCTATGCGAGAGTTGCGAATGGATTATTTGTCTCATTACTTATCTCGTGACGTAACTCTGGGAGAACAAACAGGGCAATATCGTGGAGGATAAAATACGAAAAAAGTATCATAATTATCCGGCAACGACGCATTCGCTCCTGCTGGAGCATGCCGAGGTGGGGGTGGGGGTGTGAACGGGTTTGTCGATATCTCCCTGGGTGCAGGGCTCTGTCCGCGAAGCCCCATCTGGCCAGCACGGCAGGCGACGAGAATCTCGCCAACCTCATCCTGTCGCGCTGGTCCGACGGAGCACAGGGCCTCGACCACGCCGAGCTC